AGCGCGTCGGATTCCTAGCTTTGGGTTATTTTGAAGGGCCTGAAGGGCAAGAAGGATTCTAGCTTCATTTGAAGATTGTGGCATACTGGGTTGTTGTATAGTATTTGATCAGATAGTAATGATGTAAGATGAGGGATTTTTGGTCAGCATACTTGTCCGGTCAGCATGCTTATCAACCACGTTAATTATAAAGTTCAGGCTTCGCCTAGCCCACCTTTGTCAGCAAGCTTACTCAACCAAACCACGATGTCCCTTTTAGTCTTAGTGCTGACAGACACTTACAGAAGATGACTGTAGATGACATGATATAGTATTGAGAAGTTGAGTGTTTTTCTGAAGCTCAAGGACTGATCTTCTGACAACAAAACGTCGACACTATTGCAAATCATTCAGAGAAGAAACTACCGCCAAGGCGAAATGCTATCGTCAATTGAGTCGCTATACCCCAAGGCTTTCACTGACCGCTTGCCAAGAAACGACTCCGTCGTAAGGAAGGCCAGGGTTGCATGGTTCAAGGCGGCAGGCAGCAACTTTCTCTACCTGCAATTGCTGTTCCTTGGTCTCTTTTGCTATATCCTGGGCTCCCTATACCAGCAGACGAGCCATACGCATAATCTTCGAATCGTCTTTGTTGACTACGATGGGGGTGCAATCGGTCAGGCTGTGCGGGGTGCATACTCATCTCTTCGTGGAAAAGACTATCCCTCGTTGATTGAAAGGCCAACCTCCGACTTCCCAACCAAAAACGACCTACTAGAAGTGGTCTGCAAGACAAGGTACTGGGGAGCTTTCTTTGTCAGCAAGGGAGCTTCAAACCGGCTCCAAGAGGCATTGGACGGGAATGGCACAACCTTGGGGTATAACAACTCGGATATAATGGGGTATATATGGAACGAGGCTGTATATGCGCCCATTGTAGACTCCGCGATCTCGATAAATCTTCAGCTTCTATCCGAAGTCGCCAGGGTGCAATATAGTACTGGGAATGGGACAGGTAATATTCACTCTGTCTCCGGCAAGACCGCCCTGGCTGTCCTGGCTGAACCATGGAAGCTCCAATCTATAAATATTCAGCCAACCTCTCAAGGATCAAGAGCAATCTATAACACCGTGGTCATCATCTTGATCATGATTGAAGAATTTTGCTATCTTGGTACGATCAATGGCCTCTACGCACAATTCAAATTGTATACCCGCGTCAAGGCGCGCCGCATTATTTTGGTCAGGCTTATCCTTTCCCTCATTTATACGCTCATTGGGTCGCTCTGCGTTGTAGGTGCTATCTGGGCTTTCAAAGCGGGCTGGGATGTAAACGGCAATCAGTTCGTCTTGTCCTGGGCTACCATATGGCTCTTTGCCCATGTCAACTTTCTCACGCTTGACGTCTTTACCATTTGGCTACCGCCTCCTTTTATCCCCATGGCCCTCGTCTCCTGGATCATATTGAACGTCACCTCCTTGTTGCTTCCATTTGATCTCAACCCGGCATTCTACAGAGTTGGCTATATCTTCCCAGCTCATGAAGTTTATCAAGTGCTTACCCACATCTGGTCGAGGGGTTGTAATCCGCAACTGCGATACGCCTTGCCAATTTTATTTGGATGGGAGATAACCACTTTCTTGTTGAGTTCTCTCGGAGTCTACCGTAGAAGCCACTTTGCTATGCTTGGAGAAGAGCAGCAGGAAAAGGATTTTAAGGAGCGGCTTGATGCCGCTGTGGCGTTTGAGATGGCAAAGATAAAGCAGGCAACAGAGAGGCATAAAGAACCCCCCAAAGAAAAGACTGTATCGGCACGGCAGGAGATGCATTCTGATGCACATGACTCCCGAGGGGTAGGTGAGGAGGAAACAGTTCGAGAGGAGCTCGCTGAGGTTCTAGAGTCGGTTGAAACAAGACAAAAACTTGAAAGGGAGACGGAAAATCTGAGCAATGTTTGCAGCTTTGGACCAACATTCGAATTGCCGTTTAAATATGAGAGTGGAAATGAAGGGGTGAGACGGTAAGCTCTTGGGCACCTTCTCAGAGACGCAATGTGGTAAGGGCTTTGTTATGCATGCGGCGAAAGCGGCCATAGTTGTAATATAAATAGTAAATAAAGGATAATATATAAATTAAATATATATTAAACTAATCTTATTTAACTTCCTTAAGAGGGGAGTAAAGCCCTTAATATTATCCTACTAATTTATGGCTTAGTGGTATAATATTATATAAAACATATTATATTTATATATTTTATTCTTATTAGATTAAAATTATATTATTTCTGATATTACGTTCCCTATTAGTTAATTTTAAATAACTACAGCAAGTATATAAAGGTTTACAATTAATAATATATTTCATAACAGGGCAGCTCTGGGGTAAGTAGATGGACTTGTAAGTATAATTCGAATTACTATATGTCTATAGTGTTGCGCTGATGCCTAAGGCACTTACAGGCCAATAAGGCCATGAGTCAAAAGATTCTGCTTCTTGATTTCATCCTTCCGCTGCAACAGCTCTGTGACGTCCCAATTGGTCCAAAGAAACCTGCCTTTCAGATAATCAGCCTCTTTCGAAGTAGCCAGCCAGACACAGTACGACGCCGGGAGCCCTGAAAATGTTAGCCCGAGAACTCAAAATCCGGAAATGGTGAACTTACGAATGTTGTCCACTGTAGCGATATCACCGGACTTCTTCTGCATCTCCGTGGCAATAGCACCGGGATTGATGTTGAAAACACGAAGATGAGGGTTCTCCTGCTGGACAAATTCTACCATCTTTGCGAATGCAAGCTTTGATGAAGAATACGCAGAGTAGCCCGGGATGGGAGGCAGATGTCCAGCTCCAGATCCAATATTGATGATCGTGTCGCCGGGTTGACTTTGCTTCAGGAACTGCTGGGTCACAAGTAGGCCTCCTTTGACATTGATCTCAAACGTTTTCCAGTAGTCGTCGAGATCAGAGTCCAGCAGGGAGCGATGGGCATCTAGATATCCTGCGTTCTGGATGAGGATATCAATGTGGCCGAATGCTGCAATGGCCTGCTTAAAAGCAGATGCAACAGCCTCTCTATCTGTGATATCGGCTTCGGCATGATGAACTGATACTGGAGTACTAGTAGAGAGATTTTTGATCTCCTTTACAGTACTGAGTAACTCTGTACCAGTCCTTCCAATAATAAATATTCCTTTGGCGCCAGCGACGGCGAAGGCCTTTGCGATTTCACGACCTATTCCTCGACCTCCGCCTGTAACAAAGACGACTTTTCCCTCGCAGGATAGGTCGGGATTCGTTTCAGAGATCCTATCGTAGGTGTCATGGTGATATGTTGGAACAAAGTCTAGCTTGAAAGTAGCCATGGCTATAGTGATATTGAATGTTAGAAATGTGATGGTTGGAGATGTGATATAGAAATGTCTGACAGGAGATCGGCAACAGAAGCACCAGTTCTTATTTATACCCAGAGATCTAGACGACTAAACCAAATCAACTAGTAATTAGAAATTATTGATTTATAATAAGATGACTAGCAAAAAGACGAGAGCTATTACCTTATGCCTCTGCGGAGCTTACTTCCGCCAGTTATGCTTCCACCTTTATCTTGATCACCTGACAAGATCGTATCATACTGAGTAAAGTTGGGTAAAGCTACTGTCTTTCTCAGTAATAAATATTTTAATTATGTATAGATAGCCTCTGAAGGACAATTCTTATCCTCATGCAAAGATGTTAATAAGTTGATGTATAAACTTGAATTGTGTACGACTTCGAAAGTTACCATGTCAATTTATTAATTGGCTGGTGGGAGTGGAAGAGGAGCTTGCGGAAGACCCACCAATTAAGCAGCGGAAGCCACAAATGAGCGGGACCAATTAGAGAGTCCTCATGTGCGGAACTCCAGATCCCC